ACTTCCAAAAATTAGATAGAATTTCAAAAAAATAAATAGATAGCCTTAAAAAAATAGATACTCAAATGCACGATTCGAGTTTTCCATATTGTTTAAATATATCAAGATGGTTAAGAACCAAATGAAAATCAGTATCAATAACTGCCGAAAATATCATCGAAACGTTACGTCGATTTATGATATCAGTGAAAATTGAGTGTGCCAAAAACTGATTATCAAAATGCATGATTCAAATATTGCATGTTCAAATATTTCTGTAAAAAAGAAATGTAATATTTTCTTCTTTTCAAGAGAAAAATCCATAGCTGCAAACCTCTAGTTATAAAAATGCTGATGATAGACAAGAAAAATGCAGAAGGTTCGCAACTGCATACTAATTACTAATAAATTTATTTTTAAAAAAATACTCCCCTTTTTTTTAAAACAAGAAAAGGTAAAAAAAATTTTTAAAAATTTTGACCAGCTACTTGAAGGTACTATATTCATTTATTAATTCTTGATTAAAGGGAAATATATAAAATTTTAAGACACATTAAAATTAGTTTAATTACACTATAATAGTATGCACTATATATAAACTCAATGGAAATTATGGAGAAAGAATTACATCAAAAAAAATTTTTTTTGCAAAGATCCTTTAGTAGCACCTTTTGCTTTTACTAAAAATTCTTTCAAAACAATGTATTTCTTCTTTAGACTTAATTATTAAAAGTTTTTCGAGCAGACTGCTCATCAGACATTGATGAGCAGAATTGAGTCCTAGTTTTTTTACCACAGAAAACACCCTTTCGCATTCAGCATTGCTGTGGGGTATAGTCAATACAGTCTGACTTAAAGAAAATACTAGCTATCGGGCGACCAGGTAAAATGCAGAAGATCTTATCTTCGGAGAGTAAAAGCAGTAGCTAAAATAAGTAAATATGCGGATAGCTTCTGCAAAATTCAGAAGGGTTGGCAGCTATGAAAATCTCTCTGCAATAACTATGTAAAATTCTGCAACAATGTCGCCTTGTCGCTGCGATTCTGCCACGGAGATTTGAAGTACTGAGCAATTTTTATAAATCTTAATTCCCCGAGAATTTCCAATTGATGTTGTTTATTCCTTTTATAATTCATTTGAATGTTTGCCAAATGTTTGGTTTGAGTAGCCTCAGCCTTTAAGTGATCGCTGAAGAATTCATAAAAGCAAAATAGAAGTTTCAGAATTTGCTTAAACTTATCGAGGACTATGAATAAAAAGACTAATTTAATGCAGATAAAACACATATTTTTTAAGTGCTAGTGAAATAAAACATTGGAACAGCAAATATTGTAGAGGTAAAAACAGTAACAGTTTACCACTCTACTTGATACTAACGGTGAATCTTACACCAGAAACTTTTATTATAAATTAGTCGAATAGTGCAAATGCTGATGATTGTGCATCAAATCATTATTTACATATATTTACAATATATGATAATTCCTTTTAAGAGACAATTTTTTGAGTACTTTTATTTGTTGTTATTGAAGCATGGGCAGCCTATGTAAACAATTTTTCATTACTATTTTTAATATCAGTAAAAGTTATTTGAAATAATTTTTAACAGTTGATTTTGTTCATGTTTATAAATTCAAGAAATTTTTTTTACCCATTTTTAAGTACAAGAAAAAAGGAAACAATTCAAATACAGTTATTTCGTTAGACATACTTAATTCAGGAACCTTCAAATGAGACTTGATGGAGCTTCATACTCAAAGCCAGATCCTTTCCAAAGATCTTCCTCAGAAGTACATCAATAGATTATGAAAAAGAAAATTTATTCAGTTAATACGTTTAAAAACATAGAAATTATTCAAACATATTTTCTTTCGTTTATACGGGCACATTTATTATTCAGAACTAGAGAGGTAAGGAGTAATGGTTTGGTAGACTGTTAGCTAAAAAAAATGGTGAAATGCAGAATATATTTTTATAGCAATATTTTTTTTAAAAAAAATTCATTAATAAATATTTTTTACGAATAAATAAGTTTATTTATAATTGGAAATTACTCCATGCTTATCTATATTAGTGGAATGGGCTAAAGGGAATACAAAAAATTAAACAAGAAATACTTATAAAAAAACTAAAGTTATAAAGTAAAATAGAAAGAAAAAAAAATATCATAATTGTTACAACAAAGCTTCTATGCTAAGAATAATATTTTCTGCAAAGCAGTATCCATAAAGCAACATTAACTAAATATGTTATAGAAATATGTTATTAAAATCCTGTGTTACTAACAAAAACAGAAGATTATATACAAATGTAAAACAGAAAAATCTATTTTAATTCTCAAAATAAAATTTTAAAGCTTTACATCTCAGCTTTCCAACTATCATATTTTCTAGATAAGAATAAAGTCAATAGAAACGTTCTTAATTACTGTGTCATACACTTAATAAAAACAAAGTTTTTTAGAAATATAAAAAGCTAGGTAAAAACCAAGACAAAAATTGTTTAAAAGAAAAATCTAGCAATAAAAATTTCAATTGAACTTTTTCACCTACAAGGAGTCTGTTTACGTTTTTCTGAGAGGTACCTATTTTGTGAAAATTTAGATATAATTTGTGAAAAATTAAGAACTATATTAAAAAATCAACACAAAAATATGGATTTATCGTTTCTTAAGGAATACAAAAATAAAATTATAAGAAAAAGTATTTTGTGAAACTAATGTTTTTTCTAAAGTTGAATTTGTGAAGGTACTGCTAAACGGTAGTAAATTTGGCCTTGACAGACCTCTGCCTAGGCATATTTTTAGAATACAGTGACTATAAAAGAATTAAAAAAGTTTTAAACAGCAATGTAAATTTAAATAAAAGCTTGAATAAGAATAATTCTAAAGATAATTTAATATTGAAAATTACTGCAATTATTTTCCATATCGTTTTAGCTGATAAATTTCAAAAACTGTTTCAAAAATAAGAAGAAAAATTTCCAGTAAATGTTCAACTGGGTTTTTTTTTTTCTTTTTAAAGATATCATGTTGCAAAATAAATAGTCAAAAAACTATTTTGTCCATGTGAGATTTTCTCTTGCAATAGCTTGTTAAGATGATACTTCCACGACATTTTGGTTGAAGAACCATCTGCTATAGACTCTTGTAAAATTTACACCAATCAAGCGTGTTTAACCCTTGGTTCTTTAAAAAGGTAAAGTTAAAAGAAAATGCCACTACTCAACTTTTTTAAAAATGCAACAACTAATAGTTTTTATACTTTATAAGACAATAGTAGGTAAGTAGATAAGACAGCTCAAATTAATAACAATATGACAGGACTGTTTCACAGATAAAACTTGTCTCGTCTTGTTTGCTAATAAAAATGCCATCTCGTACTGAGTAGGCAAAACAGAAAGAAAAATGCCCGTATCATGATCTGCCGGTGAATAATCACTATATCTTCTAAGCAACTTCCATGCATCAACCAGGAGGAACTAAAAAAAATTAACGGACGGAGATCAACTTGAAGAGTATAACTCGTAGCTACATTTCGCACACCTTTACATAAGTTAGCAGTTGGCATAACTGCTCACAATACAGAAGTAACCCTAATAGGGGATTAAAAGTTTAATGAGTATTTCTATGTTGTTACCTATGGCTAAATATTCATAAGCTTCCAGCGATCCACGAAAAATTAAATATCTCAGAATGGGAGTAACTCAAAGAATATAAGTTGTAGCAACCTTCAGGAAAACTTCTACTACATACTTCTTTTTAAATTTTTGCAAAGTACAAAATCTTTTTTTTCTTTTTGCTTCTACATTTTTAGTTGGCACAAACTAGTTCAAATCATCGAAACGTTACGTCGATTTATGATATCAGTGAAAATTGAGTGTGCCAAAAACTGATTATCAAAATGCATGATTCAAATATTGCATGTTCAAATATTTCTGTAAAAAAGAAATGTAATATTTTCTTNTTTTTTTTTGCTTCAACATTTTTAGTTGGCACAAACTAGTTCAAATAGGGAAACATCCCCTTTTATTTGATTCATTAAATCAGGGGATAAATGAACAACGGCAGAATAATCAGCACGTGTTGGCAACTTCTGGTATCGGAGAAACTGAAAGAAAGAAAAAAAATCACAGAAAAGGACCAACTCGAAAGATATAACTTGTAACCATCTGGCAAACATTTATGTTTTTTTTAAAATTTCAAGTTTACATCTATTTGGTAGCTTGGCTATTGTAGTTAGTGCGACAGATTAAGATACAGAAATATCCCCTAAAATTAGTGAAACAGAAAAATTTACATTATAAATCTAGCTAAAATTCTTTTCTACTCCGAAAAACTTGTTTATCATCACCTGTGGCAGAATAATCAACAAGTCTTGGAAACTTCCAGTGGCTATCATCACACTGAAAACAAAACATGGGTAGAAACTCAAAGGGTATATCTTGTAGCCACTACCCCCTGGCAAACCTCTTCAGGTTTTCTTTTTTAAATGTATGCAAGTTTGAAATCCACAATAGTAGGTGCAACAAATTACAGATGGAAAATATCCCCTCTACTCATATTTTGGTGTGTGAAGTCAACCATGATTAATAACATTTAAGTATTATCTTCAGAATAATGCTTATAATTGTTACTTTTTGTTAATTGTTATTTATTATAGCAACAAAATTTGCCAGGTGAATAAAATAATGCAGCATTAATTTAATAATTTTGATAATTAAAGCTTTAAAACAGAAATTTTCTTTACATGAGATCGCAACTAGTTTAACTTATTTCAGATTAATATTCCTTCATTAAGCTTAGGTGCCATCAGAATACTTTTAAAATATTCATGATTTTATTAAAAATATCTCAACTGCATAACAACAATCGTATATAATGGTCTGTATTTCATCTCTTTACATTTTATGCTCAGTAGATGAGAATCAACAAATTTTGTCATAGTTTGTTAAACTTCGCAAATGATAGGCTTAGAATATTTGTGTTTATTTCAAGCAGAATTAACTACGATAATTGTTTACTTTCTTTGATAGTGAAGCATTATAATGAATTAACATTCTAAATAGTAATAATTAAAGTAAGCAAAAGTAATTAAAGTAAGTAAAGTAATGCAAAAAGACAAATATTTAGATCCCCCTTTTTTTTTTTTTTTTTTTTTTTTTTTTNGGTTTGTTTTTTTAGGGTCTATGTATTAGCATTGCAAAATTTAGGTCTCAACTACAATTTTTGAGGAACGTTCTCTTTCCCTAACTTAAATTTTTTTCTTTTTTCTTTATATGATCTAAATAATTAAAAACAATTTATTTAACTGCATTAACTATTTGAAACCCTCCAAGCATTTTGTCCCTAGGTAAATTCCCTGTTATGTAACATTATTGCCCGATATGGAAAAAAACAACAACAAAAAAAACAGGCTATTCAATGCAAGAAAGCCTAAAACTGACGGTTAGGAAAAAGAAACCGAACTAACGCTCAAACTATTTTTAAAAGTAATTTAATTTCACATACACAAAAACTCACTCATAAATAATATTTTGCGAAGAAATAAGGAATTATTACTTGCTCCGATAAAAAAAAAATATTTTTCTGACATTACAACAAAACTTACAATTATTATTTACATTTTATGCTATTTTATATTATTTTTTATATTTTATAAATTTATACTATTTTTTACTATATATGATTTTCATAAATAATTTAGTCATTGCAATTGAGATTTTATATTTAAATAATTTCTAGATTATGAAATTCAAGATTCAAAGCAAAATTCAATAAATTTGTAAAAATGTTGTGTGTAAAAACGTTTTTTAATAACAACAAATATTTTAAAACTTCTTACACTAAATTTTGTTACGAAAACTAATTATGAGAATTCCTTTTTATCTGTCTTTTGATACGTATGCTTTTTTTCTCTTTCAGTAATGAATATATATACTACTTTAATGAAACAAGATTGATACATTTTTCAAAATACTTTAATTTTATTTTTTTTTTATTTATGAAGTTTTTGTAAGAAAAAAACATTAAATCATTATTTTAAAATAAAGTAAACGCTTCTTTCATTGCAATAAGAACATGGAATTTAAAAGTAAATAAATTTCTTTGTAATTATTATAATTATTTTTTAAAAACTCATATGGAGAGCGATAATTTCAATATAAAAAAAAGAGAATTAATTTTTACATAATTAAAAAAATATATAGTCTTTTAATTTATGATCTTTGAATAAAAAAATTGCAAGATCCGGAACTCAACATTCCACCGAAGTTCCGAGTAGGAAATGAACCTAGGACAACCTACCTTTGAGGCGAACGCTCTAACCACTACACCACGACTCTTGTACCTGACAAAGAAGATTTAAATTTAAATCATGTGTTTTTACGTTATTATGTTCGTTACATGACAAGTTGTAACAAATTTTTTATTTATTCAGTATTTTGGAAATTCTTTAATTTCACATCTTAGTTTAGTTTCATAAGAATTAAAACTCATAGTTTCCTTGTCAGTTATTGACAATGAGCAAACTCAACATAATCAACAAACAAATATTTATCTCCAGTTTAAATAAACAAAAATAATTATAAGTATTTAAAAATAGAATACAAATTGTAATAAAAATCTACACTGTTCAGTTTATTCAAATTTAAGAGAGACGTAAAATAGTATCCTTCTTGGGCACTCACATCCTTTTTTAGAAACATTTTTACCATTGAATTTACGTTTATAATCCCAAAAAATTAACGTAAACATAACTATGCAACAAAGCGTAACTTTTTCGTTAATAAAACGTTTTTAAAAATCGGTAAAAAAATGGGTAAAATGTACACGTTAATATAACGTATTTTTAGTACTCATTTTTAACGAAATATTTAAAGGGAAAATTGATAGCGTTAAAATACCGTCATTTTAACGCATACGTTTTAACGAATGAAGAAACGGTGAAAATCATCACGTGAAATTGACGTAATTTTAACGTTAAGTTCAAAACCTTATACCGAACGAACGTATTTTTAACGTTTATTTGCCCCTTCATGCTGCTTGGGTAGCCTCTTCCTCAGATTCTCTCGCAATTAATTGAGTTATTTCGAGGGGTAACAATCCTAATAGGTGAAAAGTATAATCACCTTCTTCTAGCCCTACTCGTTTTGCCTGTCTCTCAAATAATATTAAAAATGACAAAATCTCGGATTCCTTTACATCGAATTTTTGCATTAGATTTCGAAAATCAATAGCCTTTCTATTTGATTCTGACACCGTAGTATTACTTTCATTTGACGTTTGGCATACAATTTTATTTTCGTTTTGCAATTGCAGTTTCTGCAACTCAAAATTTCTCTGTTTCTCATGGTCTTCGATTTCCTTAAGCTTAAGTCGTTCCTCTATCTCGCGTTGTTTTGCACGTTCTTGTACTTCCAATTCTCTAACTTTTTCTCGTTCTTGCAATTCTAATTGTTTTAATTTTTCCTGTTCTTGAAACTCTAACAGTTTTAATTCTTCTTTACTTTCATTTTCTTCGCGTTGGATTCTTTCTTCAATTATCCGTTCTAAAATTTGTTTAACGAATGTTTCCTCATAATCTTTACTTTTTGTGATAATATTCTTAATTTCTATTACCACTGCATTGGGTGGTACAGTTTCACCTATTTCGTTAGCCAGTTCAAT